TTTCTTATTTGTAATACATGATTTTTCTTTAAAAACTCTATGTTGTTGCAACAAACATTTCCGTTTTAATTATGTAAAATATTCACAGGGTCACCGACTTCGTTTTAATGGTATACATCATTCAAAGTGGTGTACTAGGTGAAAAAACCCACAAAACGTCGAAATAATCGTAACTATAGAGGTATTGCAATTAATATGTGTGTTCGAAAACTGTTCCAGTCAGTACTAAACAAAAGGCTTGATCAATATTTAGAAACAAATGGTTTTCCAGTAAAAGTAGGACATCGGATCACATGTTTGTAATAAAAACTATAAAGGATAAGTATACCTGTATGAAAGGTGGGAAACGTTTTGCTTGCTTTGTCGATTTCAAAAAAGCATTTGACAACGTCATTCATTCTGGTTTAATATATAAGTTATAAAAACATGATATAGGTGGTAATGTCTATGCAGTCCTGACAGACATGTACAATAAAAGTTAATTATGTATTAAAATAGACATTGTGCTTACTCAAAATTTTCATTATCAAATTCTGGTAAAGCAAGGTGAAGTTTTGAGTCCCAACCTTTTCAAGATTTTTATAAATGATTTACCGGATGCATCAAAGAAAGTCCAGATGCTTTTGATATTAATGGCCGCAAAATTGACTGCCTCATGTATGCAGATATTGTTATTTTTTTCAGTTCCAAGAAAGGTTTTTAAAAACGACTAGATGGTTTATCAAAATTTTGTACTAAATGGTGTTTAGAGGTCAATCTATTAAAAAAAGATGCTATAGAATGTGTTAACAGTTATAAGTATTTAGATTTGAAAATTATACCTAGTGAGCTTTTTAAGCAGTTCAAGGAAAGGAAGAATTATACAAAACATCACTAAAAGCTGTATTCAAATTACTAAGATCTTTATCATCTTCCAATCCAAGTATTTAAACTCTATTACATATATATGACCATACAAAAAAAACCTATTCTAAGGTATGGAGGTGAAATTACAAGTATGTTCAAAACAAGCTCTGCTGCATGCCAGAAAGAAAATGAATATTTATTACAGCACATTTCTATCGATGATTTTTTAGATAAATCTAATTCAAGATATATGAAGTATATTTTAGGTGTAAACAAAAAGTCCTCTAACTTAGCTGTGCTAGGAGAACTTGGTAGATTCCCTTTATATTTTTCAGTTGTATTATCAATGAATTATTGGTTTAGAATAAAAAATATGAAAGATGGTTTACTGTATGATACCTATATGTGTAACAAAAACATGTTTACTAATAATATTTAATGCTGGTTTTCATCCATAAATTATATTTTTAAAAAGCTGAATATTCAAAATTTAGAGGTAAAGCTTAACTTTTTTATCAAGTCCGTTAAGCAAAAACTTTGTAATAGTTTTGTAAAATTTTGGAACACAAAAAGAACAGATACAAAAAGTAGTAAATTATATACTTATTTTAAACTAAAATCTCAAAATAAAAAGAGAAACTTTATATATAGCACAGATCAAATGCTTTATAAGAAATGTACCCCTGATTTTGTTGAAGATGAACAACATTTTATTACTAGTTGTCTAGCATACAATGATGATAAGGAGATTTTTTTCAAGGAGATAAACAGTACTTGTCATAATTTTTCAGATCTCTCAAATGAGGAAAAAATGTGTTTGGTTATTCACTAATGAAAATGTGTCTGTCCTAAAATATTTAGGGAATTATGTTATTAAATGTCTAGATGTTTTGATTGTATGGTTCGGGTCCTGCCTGGAATTAAATGTACATGATATAAAAATAAGAAGATGTGGTATGATTGCCAATGAGACAACTCTCCACAAGAGACCAAATGCACAGAAATTAACAACTATAGGTCACCGTACGGCCTTCAACAATGAGCAAATGTAAAACAATTCAAACGAGAAAACTTACGGCCTAATTTATGTACAAAACAATGAACGAAAAACAAATATGTTACAAAGCAAAAAACGACAACCACTGAATTAGAGGCTCCTGACTTGGGACAGGCACGTACAGAATGTGGCGGGGTTAAACTAGTTTATTGCCGCCAAACCCTCCTCCTAACCTGGGACAATGGTGTAACAGTACAACGTATGAACAAACTATAAAGATCAGTTGAAAAAGGCTTAACTCATCAGATGGATACAAGTAGAAATACATCTAACAAAAACAGAGTGGACTTAGACGTATACTTATACATCCACACAACAGAAAGACACTAAGTACAGACCTGAGAGTACTCACAGTTACTGACAGCTAGTTCAAAGCCAATAACTACTAATGAAAATAATCATGCATCTCAGACTAAAATATCAATCAGTACACATCCAACATCCATTGGATTTCGTGTAAAGACGTCATAACAGTCAGAGAAAAACATGACCTTGTGCAATGCCAAGATACAGGTATCGACAGACTGTAAAGCCATGAATTTACTGATAACAAAGTCAATATTAATACCAATAAAAACAATATTCAAATATCTAACTACAGTGTTGAATTGGTAACCTTTTAGAATAAGTTTATCGATATGTTTACCCGGATCGTTTCCAAATTTCAGGACGCGGTAAATAACATCTCCGTAAAAAAGAGGATGTGCTATCCCGTTTGAAATAGATATTCTACAGGCATTACCAAACTTCAAAACCAAATCTTTACATCTATGGAAGAAAAGAGCATGATAAATCTTTGAAAGTGTATAATAAATTTAGCAACTGAATACAAAGTGTTCGTTTGCTAGTCCTGTAATAAATTCTTATGTTTAATAGGTTCTGTTCATTGTTGAAGGCCGTATGTGATCTATAGTTGCTAAATTCTACGTCATTTGGTCTCTGGTGGAGAGTTGTCTCATTGGTAATCGTACCACTTCTGTTTATTTTTATATGAAAAGTGTTACTGCGAAGATATAAAATACATATAAAAAATGTCGTGATTTTTTGCTTAACTGGAATCCCCTTTTTCTTAAGAAGTGACGATGCTTCAAAACACACGACACCAATTCAATTTCTATCTTTGCCTGTATCCTCCTACTCAGGTCTTTGTAAAAATCCTATATCAAGGTAGTCTTGATTATCCAGACGCTCGATATTTTACTGGGATACGGTTTTGTATTACATCAGTTATGCCTGCGTCACACTGTCCCGAAATTGACACCAGATGGACACACGATACAGGGAATGTTTAAATTCGGATCTGATTATAAAAACATCGGACCAGTCGTCAGGGCATCTAAAGCCATCGTATGACCACCGGTTGAGTTTTCAGGCTACGACAGTAACTTTGTGAGCGGTGGCAAAATCTTTTGAATGCCAAAATATGTTGAAAGACATTGCGATTAGCGAAGGTTCATTTCCGTGTTGCATTCGTGTGTTCATTGTGCCCTCCGTAAGGCCATCCTGAGGACATATTGCCAAATTGTGTCATCTTCTTTTGAACTTCGTGTGATCATCGGTGCCATCGGGCATTTTACGCCCCACGAAGACAACACGAAGGAAACAAGAGGCTTCTCGATTGTCTTTAGAAGGCCACACGACTACTCGAAGCCCTCGCAATGTCAACGTGTAGCCATCATTTTATAGTACAATGACAGAGATAGGACCATGGTAAAAGGCGAAGACAGCAGAATTTGAGTAGCTTCAATTAGTTTCAAAAGTGTTAATCTTTCATGGATAGAAATCGATTATTTTGGTATGTCTTTCCTGAACTTCTCTGATCTAGCTGCATACATATACTGACACTTGGCATGTTCCAGAGGTATACAGTCGTGAGTCCTGCTGGTCAACTACTTAATAAAATATCTAATATCTTTAAACAAAATCTTTGCGTTGCCTTCGTGTGTGGTTCGGGTGCCAACATGTGAATTTCTATATGCATCTTACTTGCTTCGGCTATTGATTGGCCGTCGGTGCCATCTTCACGCAAAATTCAAAATTCCATATCATTATGAGTATCGGGTATCAATTTCGGGACCCTGTAATTTTCAGTCGTGATTAAAATAAATGTGTATTATTATTCTTATTCGGTTATTCGAGGGAATTTAAACTACCTAAGAACTTTAACTAAAGTTATGCTGTATAACCACAACCACAGCATATTGAAAGAAAACTAAATATAATCTAAGGAAAACTTGAAACTGTTCAGATGTGAAAGGCTCCGTCAACACTGTTTACATACTTAATAGAAAAAGAACTTTACTTTGTTCTAGAGTGCCCTCTTTATATATGTTATAATCAACCAAGACAGAGACATGACAGACATATAAAACAGGGTATTATATATCTCTGACCAAGATTAGAATTCTTAGAAAACTTAGAAAATTTATTTCAAAAGTTTCAAAACCTGAGAAACATTAATTTAGAAATCTTTGTTTCTGGATAATGACAAATGAAGATTTATATTTTAATACAGTATTAAGTCTGTTCAAGGATTTGTACACTATACAAATCAATGGTATGTATCAAATATATTTTCCAGATGAGACAGGAAAAGATAAACAAGTTAAGGTGAAAAAATGGAGTTATCCCTCTTTGAACAGGTTCTCTCCTCCCCTTATATTAGTTTCTAACATTTTCCGGAAACAAAATCGGAAATTGGTGTTAATTAGTTTGTCTTTCAATGATGTTACATTTGCATTTTTAAAAAAACGCCTATATCATTTGTATCTTAAGTTGATGGTTGACTCTGTCAAATTAAATTGATTTGACAAAAACGTTGGGCGGAGAAATTTTGCCCAACGAATAGCAACATGTTGTCTTGGCGTAACATAAAGACTAAATCATTTGTTGATGCCATTTCGATGTTATATTTCATGGTCATGGTACATTCAGCTTACTTGTATGGGGAAATTGAAAATATCCTATGGTTGAATGAAATGTATTCAGTGGGAACTTAAAAATAATAGTGTACTAGATTTTTGAATTGTATTTGTACTTAAATGTCTTGGGAAACGTATACAAATTTATAGAAACCAACTCATCAAGTGTGAAAGAAATGCTGCCAACTCTACTGAAGCCAGGTAATTTAACATGTTTAAGGTTCATCATAACCTTTTGGCAAATATGGCAAATATAGCCGTATTTATACCACAAATCATTTTTATTCTGAGTACAGACAAAACTTTTTTGCACCAGGTAAAGTGTTAAGGCATGGTAGGAACTAGAACTACAACAACAAAAAATATAAAAAAAATTATAAAAATTTTATAAACATAAGTATGTTCACAGACAATAACTTCAGTATAAGAGTATAGATTTCTATGAAATTTTACAACAAGGTTCCATACTTCAAAAGGAAAGTTTGGAATGATTTTTGGATGGTCATGGCCTATATCGTTTTTATAATTAGGGGTCGAAAAGGGGCAGAAAACAACTATTTTTTCTGGTTTGCAGGCAATAACTTGAGTATAAGCGTATGGATCTATATTCAAATTTAGCACAAGGTTCCATACCACAATAGGATGGTTGGTGTTTAGTTTTGGGGGTTATTATAGTAGCAGTTTAGGAATTAGGGGCAAAAAATGGCCTAACAAAAACAATCAGTTGTCTTGTTCACAGACAATAACTTGAGTATAACTGTATAGAACTCTATTAAATGTGAGCACAATGTTCCATACCACCATAGGAAGATTGAGATTTAATTTGGGTTTTTTTGTTGTAGCTGTTTAGTAATTAAGGGCCAAAAAGGGGTCAAAAACAAGCATTTTTCATGTTTCAGGACACTAATTTGTGTATAAGAGTATAGATTTATATGAAATTTTACTACAAGGATCCATACTTCAAAAGGAAAGTTGGGATTGATTTTAGGGGTCATGGTTATGTATAAACTAATTTTCTAAATGCTATATATATTTTTTTTAGTCCCCTAATGACGAAGTCGAAGGGGACTTTATGTTTACACTCTGTCCGTTTGTCTGCCCATCCGTCAGTCCGGCAAATTGGTTTTCCAAACTTTTTTTCTTCGTGTTTGAAGGTATTTATTTGATATTTGGTGTATTGTTCTATCATTACAAGTTACAGCTCATGTTGGAATTTTGTTCTGGTCTGACGATTTTGTGCAGAGTTATGGTCCTTGAACTTAGAAAATTCACTCAAATAATCAGTTTTCCGTATTTTTTTTTCATGCTTGATGATTTTGATTTGATGATTGGTAAATACTTTTATCATGACAAGTAACAGATCAAGTTCGAATTTTGGTCCGGTCTAATGATTTTGTGCAGAGTTATGATTCTTGGACTCAGAAAATTCACTTAAATGACCATTTTTCACATATTTTTCGTCATGCTTGAAGATATTGACTTGATATTTCTTATATAGTTTACATCATAACAAATTATAGATCAAGTTAGCATTTTGTTCCAGTACAATGAATTTTTAAGCCATAAGGGACTATGTATTGCCAGGCAATACTCACAGAATGCTTGTTTTTGATGAAGCGAACTCCTTTAAAAACTAAGCTTATATTGTCTATTAATAAACATGTATTTAGATTTTTACTTTTGGGCCCAGTTTTCAAGTTGGTCCAAATCGACGTCCAAAATTAAACTGTGTTTGATTTCCACATAAATTGAATATATATAGTGTTCTTTGAAATGCTGAATCTAAGCCTGTGTTTAAATTTTGGACTTTTGGGCCCAGTTTTCAAGTTGGTCCAAATCAGGGTCCAAAATTAAACTTTGTATGATTTCAACAAAAATTGAATTTATGGGGTTCTTTGAAATGCTGAATCTAATCATGTATTTAGATTTTGGATTTTAGGCTCAGTTATCAAATTGGTCCACATTGAGGTCCAAAAGGTCCTAAATTAAACTTTTATTTGATTTCATCAAAAATTTACTTTTTGAGCTTCTTTGATATGCTGATTCTAACCATGCACTTAGATTTTGGATATTGGACCATAATAGGTAAATGTCCAATTTTATTTTTTTTTTCAGTTTTTCAGCTTTGACCACATTCATTTTGTATCACAAACCTATGCTGTGTCAAATATTCAATCACAATCCAAATTCATTGCTGTTTTAAGCATAAATGCTGTGTCAATACTTGCCCCAACTGTTCAGGGTTCGACCTCTGCGGTCGTATCAAGCTGCGCCATACGGGGCATTTTATTTCTCATTGTTGAAGGTCGTATGGTTATACCAAATAATTGGTTCAAACAACACTTTCTTCATTTATGATTAAGTTTCCAGTTTAAAAAAATGATTTTCATCATCTGATTCTAAACCAACTAGATATAGTCGATCTTTTCTTTGTATTCTAATAAATCTGGGACATAATATATTGTTAGTATAATAGTCCCAGAATATATCTACCAAATCCGTCTATCTGAAGTAGGTGTTCACTAGTCTTTTTTTATAAAAATAGTGTGTGTGTGTGTGTGTGTGTGTGTGTGTGTGTGTGTGTGTGTGTGTGTGTGTGTGTGTGTGTGTGTGTGTGGTTGAGGGGTTTAATTAGTAAAAGTGACAAGCACAAAGCTGTTTTTGATAGTCCTATAGTCTGAAAGTAAGTTATTTTCATGTATGCATTTTAATTAAATTTAAAAAAACGTCAACATAGTTTTGACCCGCCACTGTTGAAAAGGGGGGTTGCCCCTGTGAATCCAAATTTATACATCAGTTTTGTTTTGTGTATCTTTTCTATTAATTCATCAAGCTTCATGCCTATCAATTCCTTAGGAAATTATAGGCTTGCATGCATACAGGAATATAATTTTTCTTAACAAGTCAAATTTAAAAAATGCATACTGCAATAAACCTTTTTATATCGGCATATTCTTAAAAGCAATGAAAAAATGAGATCTACATACAGGTTGTGTATTCGTTATCAGAACTGGTAAGGGTATGAAATCTGTGGTGAATAGGGTATTGTATGGTCGTACTACAGGTATTCATTTACCAACAGGAAGTTATTATTGTATTACTGTAACAATAATATACTCCTACCTCACCTCTGCCCTCGGCAAAACGTACATCAATCAAGTCGGATCATATGAAGTAATATTGCATAATAACTATGTCTTATCAATCACCCATTTGGCGTGACACCTGCAGTTTAAGTACAACTTCAAACGAGACCTGAAATTGCGAATCACCTGAACCGCACAACACCTGTGACCTATGATGAACTCATGGCATGGCACCCGAGACCCAAACTCTGGATTCCTTAGGAAAGTGGGCGGAACAAAGTGTAGTTTAAGGTTGGAAAAAAGTCCAATCTTCATCCCTTCTAAGTCTGCAGGTCATTCGAGAAATGGAAAATATCATGTCACTATTCTTTTTATTATATTGTTAAATCCATCGGCATCACGCAGAATCAATGTATGTCACTGTCATGCGTTTTGTTTGATAATAATTGAAAACAAATTTGCGCTATTCCATTCTGCCAATATGAATGATTGGAACCCGTGACGTAGCAGCCTCGTTCTGAGTGACTTCCGGGATGGAAATATGCATATTTAAAAGGTCGATAGATCGTTGCATTAAAACACATATTTTACCAAATATTTTACACTTATATTGCCATCGATGTACTTTTGGGAAAATTTATGTATAAATAAACATTTTAAAACAAAAACTGAAAATCGTGTCTTGTCTCCTCAACTAAGAACAGATTTTCAATGTCAACGAAGTTAAACTTTCGAGAGTCTGCTTATTGACATCAAATTATAACATTAAAAAAAATGAGCATGAACAAATATAGATTACTTGCAATTTCAAAGATTTAATCAACTATTATGTACAAATTGTATCATTTTAGTTTTAAAACTGTTAATCTGTTCATACCTCTACTGCGATACAACCTATTGGAATTCGCTGCATTCGTAACCCAAACTTTATCTGAAACAGCAAGCCTGCAAATGTCCTGCAACTGTACTGGGATTTTATTACCCGAGGTAAGAGTTCTCTGTATGCATTCCTCCTTTGGTTCTTCCATTTGGCGATTATTATGTATACACACTAATGATTGTTGTAAGTTGTTTCTATGGAAATCTAAATCTGTATGTAGAATTAATGATAACATAATAACGTAAATTCCATTTTTTTTTAAACGGTAAGTTCGTGATGATTATTTGAATGGTCTCTTAGTTGATTCCTCAATGATATCCAGGATACATTGTTAGATCCATGGTATGTTGTGTATAATCTAAAATCTACAAAATCGGATTCGTCGGTGTCTTTGACAGTAGTAAATAATCTTCTCGCCGATTCATTGAAAAAGCAAATATAGATTACTTGCAATTTCAAAGATTTAATAAACTAGTATGTACAAAGTGTATCATTTTAGTTTTAATACTGTTAATCTGTTCAAACTTCTACTGCGATACAACCTATTGGAATTTGCTGCATTCGTAACAGATACCCAAACTTTATCTGAAACAGCAAGCCTGCAAACATCCTGCACCTGTACTGGGATTTTATTACCTGAGGTTAGAATTGTCTGTATACATTTCTCCCTTGGTTCTTCCTTTTGGCGATTATAATGTATACACACTAATGATTGTTTTAAATTGTTTCTAGGGAAATCTAAATCTGTATGTAGAATTAATGATAACATAATAACATAAATTTCATTTTTTGGAACGGTAAGTTCGTGATGATCATTTGAAAAGTCAATAAGTTGATTTTTCGGTGATATCCAGGATAAATTGGAAGATCCATGGTATGTAGTGTCTAATTTAAAATCTACAAAATCGGATTCGTCGGTGTCTTTGACAGTCGTTAATAATCTTCTCGCCGATTCATTAAAAAACCAAATCAAAGTGACTATTAAAGCTGTAGATATCAGCACTAAAATAATAGAAGTATGATATTTCCATTTCAAACAACAATTCGTAGTTTTTGAAGTTTCACTTTTCTGTTTTTCAGAATGGGTTTCTTCTGCTTAATTATTTCTGACAGTCAAATCTAGTGTTTCCATATAAACTGGACAGTCATAGTTATTTCTCTCACAACTTACAGAATAGGATGATCCTTTTGTTTCTGTAATAATCTCAAACTTTTGTTGTTCATCAGTTATTCTC